CTGGGGTGCCTGGCCAGCCTGGGTGAGGGGCTGAGGGCCATTTTCAGGCTGGCCAAACCCCCTTCAGGGAAGGGGGTCCCCGCTGGGGTGCCTGGCCAGCCTGGGTGAAGGGTTGATAGCTGTTTGCAGGCTAGCCAAGCCCCCCAGCAGGGACCCTCACCCCATGAAGGTGTGGCCAGCCTGGGTGAGTGGCTGATGACTGTTTGCAAGCTGGCCACAGCTTCTTCAGGGTAAGGGTCCCCCCTGTGGTGCCTGGCCAGCCTGAGTGAGGGGCTAATGGCTGTTTGCAGGTTGGCCACAGCCCCTTCAGTGTGGGAGTTCCCACTGGGGTGCCTGGCCAGCCTGGGTGAGGGGCTGATGGCTGTTTGCAGGCTGGCCACAGCCCCCAGCCACCCAAGCTCCCAGTGTAGGCTGGCTAGAAGCAGGTATCTGGGATTTATTTATCTTCTATAATTGAAACTTTGTTGCCTTGAGCAGAGTTCCACAGCCAGCTAGGGCAGGCGGGAAGCTTGGCTTCCTCCATCATTGGGGCAACCAAGCCTCCTGCTTTCTCCAGCTCCGTGGCTGCCGGCTGCCATCTTGGTTGTGTTAATTTGTATATAGTCACTCTGATTGGCTGGTGGGTGTGGCTTGGGGCGTAGTGGAGGTGCGGTCAATTTACATGTTTCTCTTTTATTAGATTAGATTAGGAAATAGGTCAGAGATATTAAGAAATCTGGAAATTCAAATAGCTCTGAAACACCTGAAAAAAATATTCAGGCTCACTCACAATGAGAGAAATGCAAATTAAACTTCTCTGAAATACTATTTTCGTCCATCAGACTCACAGTCCAGGTAGCGTAATCTTTTGGCAACACTGTGGGAAACAGGCACTGTCATTTTGCTGGTGAGAGAGTAACTGGAAGAGCCATCTAGAGGATAATCTGGCATTTGTGTCAAAATTATAAATGCCTATACCTTTTGGCCCAGCAATCTCACCCTGGGAATTTACTATAGAGCTATACCGTTCACAGGAAAAATGTTGTACATACAGGATAGTCACTCTACCCTGTTAGTAATAGCAAAAGATTGGAAACAACCCAAAATGTCCATCAATAGGAAATTGGTTTAATAAATTATGGGATATCCATACATAGAGTACCATGCATCTGTTTTAAAAGGATGCAAGCATGCTTTATGTACTAATATAAAAAGTTCTCCATTGTTAAATTAAAAAGTCAAGGGAGCAAGATGGCAGAATAGGAGGTCCCCCACCTCTCTCCCTGACGGCAACAATAGTTGTCAGCCATCCACAAACAAAAGTGCCTTTGTGAGAGCTGTGTAATCCAGGTAGAAACTTACAAAATCCCAAGGAAAGCCAGGACCACGGAGGGCTGTTTTGACAAGATTAGTCCATGCTCAGGTGGTAGTTTTGCTCATTGAGGTCCAGGTTACAAGCCTAGAAGCAGCCTCATCCTCTTATGGACTCAGCTACAGCCCCTGCTACAACATTGTTTGACAAGCGACTCGGGAGGAGTCAGCCTGTCCATGACCCTGGAGGCTGGCCTGCAGACCTTGGTCCCAGTGAAGATCTTGAAGTGGCCCTGTAGCCCAGCTCCAGCCCTCCCACCTGCAGTCCAGAAGCGGTCCTGCCCATCAGGGATCTACCCAGGGACGTGATGGGAGTCCTCCCAAGGACCAGATGGGAGCCATACCTACCTACACACCCGGTAACAGGCCTACCATTTGCAAACTCCACTGAGGACCTTAAAATGGGCCATTATTCTAGCACCAGCTCTACTGACTAAGGTCCCGGAGGCAGTCCCATCTTCCACGGACAAGACAGGACCCATACCCGTCTGAGCTCTTGGTAAAGTCTTGCCCGCCAGCAGCCATGTGACCTGATCCAACCTCACTTGATTGTGATCCTAAAAGCAATCCCATCAGTCAGGAGGCCTGTTGGGAGAAGGTCTTTGCCTGCCAAATTCAGTCTGTAAAGGCTGGAAGAGGGTGTCTGCTTCTTCAAATGCACAGACACCAGCCCAAGGCGACACAAACCACAAAGAATCAGGCAACTATAACACCACTAAAGGAAACTAATACAGCTTCAGGAAGCAACCTCAAAGAATTGGAGATATATGAAGTGCCTGGAAAATAATGTAAAATACTCATCTTCAAGAACCTCAGTGCAGTGCAAGAGAACACAGATAGGCAACTAAACAAAATCAGGAAAACAATGCATGAACAGAATGAGAAGTCTAATAAACCATAAGAATAACCAAACAGAAATCTTGGAACTGGAAAATACAATAACAGAACTGAAAAATCAATAGAGGGCTTTAATGCCAGAATCAATCATGCAAAAGAAAGATTCAGCAAACTCAGAGACAGGTAATTTGGAATTATTCACTTACAGGAACAAGAAGAAAAATGAAAGAAAAAGGATAAGGAAAGCTTACAGGAATTATGGAAACCATCAAAAGAGCTAACATGTACACTATAAGAGTCTAAAGGGAAAAAAAGAGAAAGGGGCAGAAAGCTTCTTTAAAAACAATGGTTGAAAAATTTCCAAATCTTGGAAGGGATATGCATAAAGATTATCTGGAATTGTACACATTAATATAAACCAATACTTAGAAAATGCAGAGAGAGAGGTAGAGAGGTGGGGTTGAGAGGATATAGTATGTGAGTGAGAGTTTTCACTAATCAAAATCATTTGAATGTATTTGCTATTAAAAAATCAAAAAAGGAATTGATCAAGATTATATAATAACTGACAGAACTGAGATAGGGATCCAGGACTCTCTGGCAACAGTGCTGTTTATTATGCAAAATAAATTGATGAAATGGATAAATTCTCTCACGGAGCTTCTGCTTTTACAAAGGTACTGTTTTAAGGTAATAAAGAGGACCAAGGAGTGAAGTGGTTCTTGTTTCTGCTTCCTAATCATTTATCGCAGAACTGCAGAAGCTGGGTGACGGTGGTGGCTTTTCATTTGGCACCAAGACTGACTGGGTGGTAGACAGGATAGACCAGCAGCACAAAGCCATATCTAACAAAGATAATAAAAAGTTCCTGGAGTGAGAAAGTACTTTTAGTGATTGAAAAATACCTGGAAAGCCAACCAAGGTACCATAAATTAAGTGATAGGAGAGACTTGAGAAAAATCCGTAGGATATCCTGTCCTTTCATCCAGGTAGACCTTTCCCCAGAGACATCTAAGGTCTTCTCTAGTAACCAAAGGGACAAGAAGAGCTAAAAAGCTGCTTCTAACCATGATTATGACTTTATCAGATGGATCAGAGGATTCCAGCTTTCCAACTAGATGGAAGATATCAGGACTTTGCAAATCATATTAAGAGCTGGTTTTGTTTTTGTTTGTTTTTTTTTAGCTAATCCAAGAGCAGAACTTCTAAACACAAGGGTTTCCCCACCCTACTGGGGTCTCTACTTGAGAAAATGGTTCATTTTTTAATATTTCATTTCACTTTAAGAAAATACAGATCTCTGCACTTGGATAATTTCTCCAACCAAATTGGAAAACATTATAAGAAGGTTGTGTACAAACAGTACCAAGATGAGACCTTCACCAAACGCCTGGAGGAGTCCAGAAACGATGAAGACGGGATCTTGGGCCCTATTATCAGAGCCCAGGTCAGAGACACGCTCAAAGTAAGTAGCAGAAAGGTAGGCCCGTGCGGAAAGAAATTAAATAACAAAAGACATTATAAGTACTGGCTGCTTATTTTTTTTAAAAGGTGTCCATGTAATTTTTAATTCAAATGCAACTTTTTGTTTTTATTTAGTATTTGCACTTATTTATAGCTTACTCCATAATACAAAGAATCTGAGATAGTTTATCAAATTATAAAGGAATACAATAGTCAATGTAATTGGGGTGAATAATATTGGGGACAAAGAAAAGAAAACCAAGGATAAGGTAAGTATAATCAAGCACTTACCATATGATCTTACAAGGTTGTTTGCAAATTTTGTCCTGAGCTTTCTAGCAGCCAAAGTAAAAAGGGACATCTGTTAGGGCCAGAGTCACAATAGTCACAAAAGAAGCATAGCGACCAGAGAAGAATTTCTCACATGGATCCTTGAAGAGAGGGTGCTATTGATGCAGTGGATAGATTCCTTGATAAAACCCCTACAATTGGTACAATAAATAAAGATATTGTAGAACCTTATAAAAGTGTTTCTCATTATAGCTAAAAATATCACAGTAAATGCCATTGAGAAAAAAAAAATCCTTCACTGAGGTCTTGGTATATAGTTCTCTGAAGCCTGGTCTCTGATGAAGACACACGCAAAGACTTACATATTTATCATGAGGACAGGGTGTTGTTTAGATAGTTTCCTTTAATGCTATGTCACATCATCAAGCTTTTTAAAATATATATTTTTATTGATTTCAGAGAGGAAAGAGGAGAGAGAGAGGTAGAAACATCGATAATGAGAGAGAATCATTGATCGGCTGCCTCCAGCACGCTCCATATGGGGGATCGAGCTCACAACCCAGTCTTGTACCCTGACTGGAATTGAACCATGACCTCCTGGCTCAGAGGTTGATGCTTAACCACTGAGCCATGCCGGCCGGGTTCATCAAGCTTTTTATAAGCAGGGGAAGCAGAGGATTGAAGGTTGCAATCTTTGGCCAGATTCTAGAATGCAGATTATCTACAGATGGAGAATGACCCAAATGCTTTGGCAATCAACCAAAGATACAATCAAGATTCTCTTTGGAAGATTAAGGAGCATATAACCAGGACTCCTGTGTGGATAATGCTCCTAAAATGATGCCCAGTGCTTCCCAAGACCATACTTCACCGCTGCAGGGACGGAATTAGGAGGGCATCTGCAGACAAGGCCAATTCTGCTCATTTGAAAATAACCAAAGCACCAGAAGCAGCCTCTCTCTTCCCCCATCTCTGATCCCTCCGAGGTGCTCTGACCCCTCCGAGGTGTATAAATACAGCTCATTGGAAATTGAGGATCCGGCTCTTAGCCATGCCCTCAGGACACGGCTTCAAGGACAGGGGTTCTGGGAGACCTGGCCAGCGGGAGGAGGAGGTCATGGTGTAGAGAAGAGGAGGAGCAGAAAATGAAAACAGATGGGGTCTGAGCTGAAAGGAGAAGAGAAGGAGATGGGGACCAGCTCGGAGCGGGTGGCGTACTGTGAGGAAAATGTCACTTCTAAGGTCAGATTACTCTCTGAGGAGAAACTCTCTCAAATGCTTGTGCCGGGTGATGGAGAGATTGCTGCTCAGATAAACAGAACAAGATTGCATGCATGCACACACCGTCCAACAAGTGAGCGTGCAAAGTTAACATCCTATATTAATGCTCGCAATCAATCTTAAGTCCCGAATAATGAATCTGAGTTAACTTTGTAGATCACATTCAAAAATATGGCCAGCCGCGCCTACAGCATTTACCCTCATGGCGTGACCTTCTCTCCTTTGGAAGACAAAGTCAACTCTTCCTCCGCCTCAGGTTTGAATCTTTCACTTCTGCTGAATGAAGCTATTGACCTCTGAGAAGCTACCATATTTTTCTACTGTCCCTCTTGCTCAGTAGTAAACCTTGTGCAGTCAGGTAGTGTCTATACATGGGCAGGAACCCTAAAAGCCACAAGGAAACCCTACTCATCTCAGGGGGTTATTTACCCTACAGCAAGCATGTCAAACTCGCGGCCTGCTGCCTGCGGCCCACAAAGAATATTTTTGCGGCCCAGCCAATATAACAGTATGTAAGAAACATTTTAATAAAAATTTTGTGACTTAATTTTTACACTATCCTGTTATACATAATTATTAATAACAAACTACAACGTTCACTAATTACTGGTTACTATAATCGTGTTGCATTCATTTCCCTTATGCGCAAGTGCACCATTTCTCTCCACTAATACTAGCAGCGAATATTTTAGCAGCCCACTGCCACATCATTAGTCTTGTACTGACTTGTTTGGTGTGCGCAACAGGAAATATTTCGCTTTCAGAGAACAAGAAAAACAGGTTTATTAGTGTTATGCTTATTAATTTGTGCAGTTATTCAGTGTCTGGTAAGTTAATGGTCAAGAAAAATATTAATTTTTATTAAAATTTTCTATTATTTTATGTTAATGGTGAATCATTTATTTCAGCATGTATCTATCAAAATAAACCTACTATAATTTCTATGAAAATTAAAGCTTTTGTTTTTTTGCAGCCCACATATACTTAAGCCTTGTTTATTTGGCCCATGTTAGCCTTTGAGTTTGACATGCTTGCCCTACAGCATCCTTTATTAGTGCCATAGGGGAGTGCCATAGTGCTCTAGGGGAGCAAGATCTGATGACTACATGCTATCAATTAGTGCCATAGTGGCCTCTAGGGGAGCAAGATCTGATGACTACATGCTATCAAGGGATCTTAATATTAAAAAAATATTCCTTTCCCAATATTAATTGCTTGCAATGAAAGCTCCATTGTATCATTCATTCATTCTCATAAAATAATTTTGAAAATGAAAATAATTCTGACTATATTTTCTTTCAGGCAGTAACACCATGGTCAGAGCAGTTCAACCAGGGGAAACCTACACTTATAAATGGAATATCCTGGAGTCTGATGAGCCCACAGACAATGACGCCCAGTGCTTAACAAGACCGTACTACAGTGATGTGGATGTCACAAGGGACATTGCCTCTGGGCTCATAGGGCTACTTCTGATTTGTAAGAGCAGATCCCTGGACACGCGAGGCATACAGGTATTTTGTCCTTGACGTAACCATTCAGAAATTCCAGGAATTTCTTCTGGCTGGAACAGACTAGGTCTCCCTGCTAAATAACGGAACTTTTCTGGAACAGAAAACATTAGACTAAGTAGTCCTCTTGGGTGTGACTGAGATGACATTGACTCCTTTGGGAACTTTTTGTCTTGCCAATTTTCACCCGGACTCTCACTGCAGAAGGCAAGTCTACAGTGTGAAGCCATACTTCGTTCTAGTTTCAAAGTCCAGGTCTGTTGTTATTGTCTGTGTGCTGAGCAAGTCTCTTAGCCTCTCTTAGTTTCTTCCTTGTATGAGATTGGAAATAACCATCCTAAAAATTACAGGTTGTTTGGGGGCTCAGGGAGGTAGCACCTGGCAAGAGTGTAAGGCCCTGTACTGATCCTTGTTACCTGTAGAGATCTGCACTAGAAAGAGATAAGAGAGATTCAAGGGAGACATAGCTTCTGGTGAGACTGCACCTTGACAATGGTCCATCTCTAGTGAGACTGAATTAAACAAAGACGTGGATCTTCTGACTTGATCTTCACTGTAGAAGAGTCTCATCTTATTAAGCTCCATTAAATTCACAGACAATTGGGCAAAGCTATAATTTTTTAAAAAGGGTCTCATCCAAGGCATACAAAATAAATATATGCCTAGGAAAATCAGAAACGAACATTAGAAAGACCCCAATTTATTGAACTTGGAAAGGAAACCCGTAGGGAGAGATATGAAGCTTTCCTGTTGCAGCCTCCTGCTTTATCTTTTGCAATTGTTCGTAGCACACCCTGTCAGTCGATCAGTCCGATTGAAAGGTGTTCTGTCACAGAGATAAACAGAATTACAGTTGCCATGACAAATGGAATTTTTCTATTAGGATATTTTAGTCTCTGAATTTCCTGATCTGCTCTGTTTGCTTTTGCGTAATACCTTTGGCTCTAACGAGGGCTTTGCACACAAGGGGCTCTCACCAAGGCCTAAATGCGTGGCTTCAGTGACCCCGAGGACTGCGTCCTGGGGTGTCTGAAGCTGTGGGTCGCTGGCTGGGATGTTAGAACACAGCGTTTCCCCCCCCCGCAGAGGGCAGCAGACATCGAGCAGCAGGCTGTGTTTGCTGTGTTTGATGAGAACAAGAGCTGGTACATTGAGGACAACATCAACAAGTTTTGTGAGAATCCTGAGGAGGTGAAGCGTGACGACCCTAAGTTTTATGAGTCAAACATCATGAGCAGTAAGTCGGAGCATGCTCCCCTATCTGTCCATCACTTCTCACCCATGTGGTTGAAGCGTGCTGTGCCTAGAGGCAGACGTGGATGAGAACCGACACATCTCAGCTTCACCTTCATCCAGGGATTTGGTGATGAAATCATATAAAGGGTGACCTTTTTACAGCGAGAGGTCAAAGGCTTGTTATCCTTATACGTCTTCTCCTGCTGTGTGTGTGTGTGTGTGTGTGTGTGTGTGTGTGTGTGTACCTGTGCGTGTGCTCTGGGCAGAGAAGAACAGGTGAGGGATGGGGGTGGTAAAGGAAGGGGCTACAGGCCTTGGTCTGTGGTATCTGGGGTGCAAAATAGACATTCTGGGTGCAAGGTGATACTCTATGGCCAGGGCAGAAACAAAATAAGTAATTCAAAACTAGATTTTTCAAATCACACTAAAAGAGTTAGCCAGGAGTTTTGCAAAGTCATTCTGTGGGAGGGGTTTGAAGTATGTACTAAGACGCTCAGAAGAGTAGGTATTCCCTGAGCCATGTGCTGCAGTTTTAAGTACAGAGCCACTGCGATGGGAAGTCTGGGTTTAACCTTGTAGATACATGTTAGACCTGGTAAAGCTGATCTCAGGTAATCACTGCTCTGATGCAACCAAATTAACATTGAGGCATGTGTTTTAGGTGTTAGGCACGTGCCCTCGTGCTGGCATGGGCCTGGCATTCTAACCGATCCGACTCTTTCAGCCATCAATGGCTACGTGCCCGACAGCATCTCCACACTCGGGTTCTGCTTTGACGACACCATCCAGTGGCACTTCTGCAGCGTGGGGACCCAGGATGACTTTCTTACCATCCACTTCACTGGGCACTCCTTCATCTACGGGAAGAGGCATGAGGACACCTTGACGCTCTTCCCCATGCGCGGGGAATCGGTGACCGTCACGATGGATAATGTGGGTGAGAGCCTGGCGCGGGGCAGGGACTCCTGGTCCCTAGGTCTGCTGCAGCTCTCCAGGCTCAGGTCCTGGGCTCAGCTCTCGGATCCCTTGCAGGCTTCCCTTTCGATACTTGTCATGATTTCCGTTTGGGGAATTAATTCAGTTTGGCCTCAGTGGGTTCAGCCCTTTAATGTGGGTTCCGTTCATCCTTCTCTGTAAGTGAGAAGTAAAGACACACATCCACAGAAGATATGGCATGACTTTGAGGAGTAAGCGTGACCATTCAGTCTCAAAAAGACATTTCTTTTATCAAAATGTCCTTTCCAGTTTTGTAAGACAGCCACCTGTGCTAGGGTTAGTGATCACCAGGTATAGTGCCTGCGAGGCTGGCCTCAGTCACGCCACAGTCCTGGAAAGCACGTGGGCTTTGGAGTTCATCAGCTCTGGGTTCAAATCCTGCCCGGCCACGCAACACCTGTATAACCTTGGGCAACTGACCTGACCTCACTGAGGCTCAGTTTATTCATTTGAAAACACACACACACACACACACACACAACAGCCGCTAACAGAGCTGCTTTGGTCATCTTACCTAATAATAGACAAACATGTAAATTGACCGTACCTTCACTATGCTAACCAGCCAATCAGGAGAGTATGCAAATTAACCTAACAAAGATGGCAGTTAATTTGCATACATAGGCTCCAAGCAGTGGAGTGAAGCCTGATGGCCTGGGGGCCAGAGCAGTGAAGCCTACGGCCCCGGGGCCGGCTCTGGCTGGAGCCCAACCAGAGCGAAGGCCTGGGTGCCAGGTGCCAGAGGAAAACTGGTGCCAGCAGCCAGGGGAAAGGAAGGCTTATTGCACAAATCTCTTCATGCAACAGGCCTCTAGTTAATTATAATATGTGCCAAGTGTCCAGCACTCAGTAGACACTCAGCAAGTGGTAACCATTGGACACTTCCCAGGAATTCTTCAGTGTGCCGGCAAGTCACACCATTTCAAAGAGATTCAAAATTGCCCTGGACCCATGTGAATTATTGGTCAATTGGAAATACCTAAATGTCTCTCATTTCTGGGGGTAGGTATCAACATTCTTCCCGTACTACAATCCTCAAACAAGATGTGCAGCTAACAAGACGGAGATTATTAAAATTCGTTTTATTCTCAATCCATCCCTTTTAAAATATATTCTGAAATAGTGACTCTCAAACTATCTGAACTAAGATGATTTTTTCCTCCCTGCTCTCCACTGACCAATACCTTTGGTCTATATCCTGTTAAACGAGGTAAATGCATTGATCACATGCTTGGATGTCACAGCAATGTCAAATTGCTCAGAAGTGTCCTAAGTACCTGGCTCTCCATTTTCCTTCTGGTGGCACTGTGGACCCGTAACCAGCAGTTCACAGGGAAGCAGAGGTCCACAGGCCACACTTGAGTATCCCTGGCCAAAGTTTGTTAAGAATTATCTGCTACAACAAATGCTAGGGATTTTCTGTCTTTTTCTGGACTTAAAGCTCTCTATGCTGTCTGTCTCTCTTCTCTAGGAACTTGGATATTAACTACCATGAATTCTAATCCAAGAAGCAAAAACCTACGGCTGAGATTCAGGGATGTTAAGTGTAACCGGGATGATGATGAATATGGATATGAAATATACGAACCTCCACCATCTACATCCATGACTACACGGAAAATGCGTGAGTTTCCGGAAAACCAGGGTGAAGTAGATGAGACTGAAGATGATTACGATAGTCACTTGGCTTCGTTATTTGGAATTAGGTCATTCAGAAATTCATCACTGAATCAGGAGGAAGATGAGTTCAATCTTACTGCCCTAGCCCTGGAGAACAGCTCTGAATTCATCCCTCCAAGTACTGATACAGCCATTGATTCAAATTCTTCTTCCCCAAGTGACAGCGGGCTAATTGACAATAAATTTGCAGAACCTAACAAAACCCTTCCTCACCCTGAAACCACCACAGCTGGTCCTCAGGTGGGGCATAGCTTAGAAAAGAGCTCAGTTCTCGGCCCTTTCACAGCAGAGCATTCCAGCCCTTATTCTGAAGTCCCTATAGAGGATCCTCTACAGCCAAAGGTCACAGGGACAAGCCTCCTATCACTTGGTGCAGAAGGATTCAGAAGCCAAGGATATGCTCAACGTAAGGGATGGGAGGCAAGGCACAGGTTCTCCCGGATGAAATTTCTAGGACATAAAACAGGGAGACATTTAAGCCAAGGCAACTCTTCTTCCATCATGGGGCCCTGGAAGGACCTTCCCAGTGATCTCTTAAAACACAAGACTCTCTCTAAGAATTTGAATGGGAAATGGCATTTGGTTTCTGAAAAAGGTAGCTATGAAATAATCCCCGAGGCTGATGAAGACATGGCGGTTAATAAGCTGCGGAACAGCCCCCAGAATGCCTCAAGGACATGGGAAGAACGCATCCCTCTTACCAACAAGCATGGAGAGCAAGGTGGCCACCCAAAGTTTTCTGGAATTAGACATAAATTTCTACAAACAAGACCTGGAGGAAGCAGTAGAGTGAAGAACAGCACTTTTCTCATTCGGACACGAAAAAGGAAGCCTACACACCACACTCCTCTCTCTCCAAGGAGCTTTCCCAGAGGAGAGGGCAACCTCACCCTCCCAGACGCCCTTCACAAGGTCAAGGAGACGTCTCTTCCCACCGACCTCGCCCAGACATTGCCCCGTGGGAATCTCAGCCTGGTAGCCTCACTTCCCGACCATAATCTCAGTCTCCCAGACAGCACTGGTCAGACAAGCTTCTCGCCAGACATGTATCAGGCAATGCCCCCTGAACAGCTCTACCAAACGTTCCCGAGTCAAGACTCTGATCAAACACAGTTCCCTCCAGGCCCCAGTCATGAAGCTTCTCCAGAGCCTGGCCAGATGCCTGACTATGATGGAGGAACCCAGTCCTTCCCTACCAACACTGGACAAGTGTCCCCTTCCTTAGAACGTGAAGTCTGGCAGACAGCCATCCCTCCAGAACTTAGTCAGATGACCCTTTCCCCTGACCTCGGCCAGACGACCCTTTCCCCTGACCTTGGCCAGACGACCCTTTCCCCTGACCTCGGCCAGATGACCCTTTCCCCTGACCTTGATCAGACGACCCTTTCCCCTGACCTCAGCCAGGAGACCCTCTCTCCAGACTTCAGACATGCAACTCTCTCTCCAGACATCACTCAGACAGGCCTTCCTCCTGATCTCAGGCAGAGATCACCTCCTCCAGACCTTGGTCAAACAGCCTACACTTCCGAATCCAGTCCGTCCTTGCCTCTTCCAGAATTTGATCCTACTTTTCCTTATTCAGACTTTGGTCAGATGCCTTCTCCGCAACCATCTCCTTCACTAAGTAACACTTTGATAGCAAGTGAATTTAATCCACCCATTGTGTTTGGCTTCAGTGGAGAAGATGGAGAGTACATTGAGATTACACCGAGGCAGAAACAACAGAGCAGTGAAGAAGACGCTCTTGAAATAAATAGTGTGACCTACAATGACCCTTACCAAACCGATATTAGGATAGACATCAACTCCTCCAGAAATCCGGACCGCATTGCAGCATCATACCTCCGCAGCAGCAACGGGAACAGAAAATATTACTACATTGCTGCAGAAGAAATATCCTGGGATTACGCAAAACACGCACAAAGGTTTGGCCAGTGTTTTCATCTCTTCTCGTTTTCCCACTACTGCCAGAAAAGTAATTTCAACAGTCCAAGGAGATAATTCTGGGCAAACTAGCTAAGCATAATTTTGTTCCCCTGCTGCAACTTGGTGCCAGGTACTCTGTGAGGCACTGGGAATAAAACCGTGAGCTAACTAGGCACAATCCCTACCTCATGGGGCTTTTCCTCTAGTGCAGTGGTCGGCAAACTCATTAGTCAACAGAGCCAAATATCAACAGTATGGCGATTGAAATTTCTTTTGAGAGCCAAATTTTTTAAACTTAAACTATATAGGTAGGTACATTCAACTTTAAATTCATGGTTTTCATCTTCCATTTTTCTTAGCTTCTTCTTTGTAGCCATCTCAAACAGGGAACCTAAAAAGATGTTTCATCTACGCTAATAAAAGACAAAGATGTTAATTGACCATACCTTTGCTACACCCTAATCCACGACCACCAGCCAATCAGAGCGACTATATGCAAATTAACCCAACCAAGATGGCAGCCGGCAGCCATGGAGCTGGAGCAAGCTGGAGGCTTGGTTGCCTGGGTGATGGAGGAAGCCAAGCTTCCCGCCTACCCTGAGCCATCTGTGGCCTCCGCTCATGGCAACAAAGTTTCAATTATAGAAGATAAATAAATCCCAGATACCTGCTTCCAGCCAGCCTACACTGGGAGTTTGGGTAGCTGGGGGTTGTGGCCAGCCTGAAAACAGCCATCAGCCCCTCACCCAGGCTGGCCAGGCACCCAAGGGGGAACCCCCACCCTGAAGGGGCTGTAGCCAGCCTGCAAACAGCCATCAGCCACTCACCCAGGCTGGCCACACCCTCATGGGGTGAGGGTCCCTGCTGGGGGGCTTGGCCAGCCTGCAAACTGCCATCATCCCCTCACCTAGGCTGGCCAGGCACCCCAGGGGGGACCCCCACGCTGAAGGGGCTGTGGCCAGCCGGCAAACAACCATCAGCCCCTCACCCAGGCTGGCCAGGCACTCTTATATAATAAAAAGGTAATATGCAAATTGACCCTAACAGCAGAACGACTGGAATGACTGGTCACTATGACACACACTGACCACCACGGGGCAGATGCTCAATGCAGGAGCTGCTCCCTGGTGGTCAGTGCGCTCCCACAGGGGGAGCTCTGCTCAGCCACACGCCAGGCTGATGGCTGCCAGTACAGTGGTGGTGGTGGGAGCCTCTCCCGCCTTCTCAGCAGCACTAAGGATGTCCGACTGCAGTTTAGGCCTGCTCCCCGCTGGCAACTGGACATCCCCTAAGGGCTCCCGGGCTGCCAAAGGGATGTCTGACTGCCAGCTTAGGCCCAATCCCCCAGGGAGCGGGCCTAAGCCAGCAGGTGGTCATCCCCTGAGGGGTTCCAGACTGCGAGAGGGCACAGGCTGGGCTGAGGGACCCTCCCAAGTGCACAAATTTTTGTGCACTGGGCCTCTAGTTTTATAATAATAAAGCCACCAACACAAAAGAATTACAATTCTTAAATTGATAACAAACATACCTGTAAGATTTGTAGCTGGTTGGAAAAATACAGGTAACTTTATGCTTTGAGTAGGTACTTTTGTCACCTGCACGCGATTTGCGGACATGACTAGCACTAACCACTGCACAATGAGACTGCTGACTGACTGGCTCACTCAACTCATGCATGAATCACATGCGCCTCCCCCTGTGTTGGGTATCCCCTGGCTCGCCTGCGCCGCATTTCCCGTCGCCTGACCGACCAACACCCCCAACTTCTTCTAACGCCACTTCAAAATAGACTCGCCCAGGCCAAAAACCGACTTTTGCGCATGGGCCACGAAATTTCAATCGCACTGTATGTGCGCACCCACATGTGGTATTTTGTGGAAGAGCCACACTCAAGGGGCCAAAGAGCCGCATGTGGCTCACGAGCTGCGGTTTGCCAACCACTGCTCTAGTGGCAGGTCAGATACTAACAGATAATCACACAAATAAGTGATACATACTGTACTGTATATACTGCAGAAATGCTACAATGCTATAGGACTTTACTATATGCACTATAGTACTACTATAGAAATGGAGGAATGCTATACAGAGATTTGGCCTAGCCTAAAGGCTCATGGGAGGACTTACCTAAGAAATGGTATCTGAACTGGCAGCTGGGTAGCTACTGGTTGCGTCTTTAGTCATTTCTATTTTCATTCATTTGCTCATCAAATATGTGCTCAATATCTTCTCTATGCTGGATTCTATATTCAGAAGCAGAGACCATTTCCTAAATTCTTTGAATGGTCTTTCATTTGTTCTTGTAAACAAATACTGTCATTATCATTTCAGTGACATGGATAACGAAGACACTGATGAGGTTCCAGAGGACACCATATACAAGAAAGTTGTTTTCCGAAAGTACCTGGATGGCACTTTCACCCAACGGGACCCTCGGGGAGAGTCTGAAGAGCATCTTGGCATTCTTGGTCCTGTTATTAGAGCTGAGGTGGATGACGTTATCCAAGTGAGTCATTCCCACCAGCACCATAGGGTTGTAAAGGCGATGGTGGCAGGAGAGAGCTATGGGTGACTTAGTTATTTTCTTTTTTTAAAATATATTTTTATTGATTTCAGAGAGGAAGAGAGTGGGAGAGAGAGAGAGAGAGAGAGAGAGAGAGAGAAACATCAATGATGAGAGAGAATCATGAATCGGCTGCCTTCAGCACGCACCCTAGTGGGGGACCGAGCACACAACCCAGGCATGTGCCCTACTGGGAATCGAACCATGGCATCCTGTTTCATAGGTCAATGCTCAACCACTGAGCCACACTGGCTGGGTGGATTTACTTATTTTCCAAAATTAATAAATAATGACATTTCTTCTCCAAGACAGTTGCCAAGTATTTGGCAATCCTCGAGAAAAAAATAATCTTATGATTCTATTTCTCCCTCTGCTAAGCTCCTGCTTATTCTATAAGGACTATTCCGTTTCCCCTAGGAAACTTTTTTTTAATTCCCTCCACCCTTTCCAAACATTCAGCCGAATGGCTCCTCCCAAGCACCTCTCTCTAACCCGTTCACGTGTGATGTACGACACCTTTTGTCCCCAGAGGGTAACTTGAATTCACATGTGCAGTCTCTTCAGCAGGTGGCAGAAAGCTTACTGTGACAAAAGCCAAGCCTCATGACCTTCAGATCCAGAGCTCCTATCAGTAGCATTGCATCTGCTGATAAGGTCACTAATTTTGTTTTGGGCGAGGAGCAAGCATGGCTTGGCATTTCTGGGGGAAGCTGCTTGGGCCCTATCTCGCAGGATGCTAGTAAAGTTAGAGGAAATAATGTACATAAGTTCCGTGGCAACTGGCATTTTGTTAAGCTTAAGTGTGTTGTGGATCCTTGTTTTTTTTCTAGGTTCGTTTTAAAAACTTAGCATCCAGACCGTATTCTCTTCATGCCCATGGGCTTTCCTATGAAAAGTCGTCGGAGGGAAAGAATTATGAAGATGAGTCTCCCAAGTGGTTTCAGGAAGACAATGCTGTTCAGCCAAACAGCAGCTACACCTACGTATGGCACGCCATCGGGAGAGCGGGGCCAGAGAACCCCGGCTCTGCCTGCCGGGCGTGGGCCTACTACTCAGCAGTGAACACGGTAGGCACAGCCATCAACGTGCTGTCATTCTCTTAACTTATAACCCGAGGCTGCTAAATGGAAAGTGAAGATTACTTCTTGTTTTCTTTTGGATGTTTTGTTTTTATTTTTAAAATTGATTTCAGAGAGGGAGAGAGAGAGAGAGAGATAGAAACATCAATGATGGGAGAGAATCACTGATTGGCTGCCTCCTGCAGGCCCCCTAATGGGTGATCGAGCCCACAACCAAGGCATGTGCCCTTGACTGGAATCAAACCTGAGACCCTTCTGTCTGCAGGCCGACACTCTATCCACTGAGCCAAACCAGCTAGGGCTGAAGATTATTTCTTGCTAAATGCTTGTCTTGCTATCTGTGAGGAAGGTGTAAGGATTGTGGCCAACACCCCACAGCTACCATAGCAGGGACCTCCCTGCAGACCTACAGAGATGACGGTGAGAGAGAAAGGTGTGCTCAGTGAAGAGGAGTGAGGGTTGCTGAGAGGGCTGGCCCAGTCAGACAGACCACCTTATAGAGGAAGGCATTTATTTGAAATTTCCTGGAGTGAATATGAGCTTTCTTCTCCTCTTTCTCTGTGGAAGAACTACAACGTCAAGACCCCTTCCCTCTTGGGCATGGTAGGGAGAGTACCGGCCTCGATTTCAGTTCCTCCCCTGTCACCCACTGTGTGGCCCTGGGCAAATTTCTCGTCCTCTCTTAGCCTGGGTTTCCAAAGTTAAACATGAGATAACAACATACATCACACATAGTTGGTCATATTTGTTTAATAAGTGAATTCTTTTTACCATATAGGATTGTTGTCAGAATTATATAAGTGGCTATAGGCAAAATATTTAATATAGTAGTAAGTGCTCAATAAATAGTATTTGTTATAGCATCAATATTTTATTATCATTATGATGACTACCATGTCACGATAAACAACTAAGCAAAGGAAGGGGATAGGAATGCCATAGATCCAGCTTTATGAAGCTACTCATTTGTACTCCTCACAGTCAGGCCACTAGGAAGGTTCCCTCTTCCATGCGATCAACGACCGATCGCCGGAAGAGCCGAGAGAGTGCTGGCAGGGTGTGTGCTCCATTCCTCCCACTGTCTTACAGGAACGGGACATCCACTCGGGCCTGATAGGCCCCCTTGTGATCTGCCGGAAAGGAACGCTGAACAGGGAGAGCGGAATGCCCGTGGACATGAGGGAGTTCGTCTTGCTTTTCATGGTCTTTGATGAAAAGAAGAGCTGGTACTATGACAAGAAACACCAAAGTTCCTGGAGACGTGGATCCTCAGAAGCAAAACCCTCCCACACGTTCCATGGTATTTTCCTCTGATTCGATCTGATCTGGGAGTTGGGTGACAGGGACACCTGCCCTTAGGTCTCCAAAGATTAGGCAGGAGATGCTTCTGAGGAACCAGGAGCGACCACGAAGCCAGGTCCCTACACGTCTTGGGAGGCTGAGGGGGCTCAGCAGGTGACACTCCAGGCAAAGGAACGCGGGAGGGTCTGAAAGACAGGCACGGCGCTGCCACGAAACAAACCCAAACCCACAGCAGTGTGCCAGTGCGCTTCAGTTAAACATACATTGATGAGGACTTAGCATTATTCTGCAATTTAAGTGCTTAATAGACTGTTTCCTGATCTTTAAAGGAAAATGATGTCTGTAGGAGAAGCAACCACCTGTGCTTTCAGAAATAACAGCTTTAGTATTCAGCAGCTCCCGATGGCACCAAGCACAGGTGAATAAAACAGGCAGCCAAATGCTCTCAGCTCCTCTCCCTCCAACAGCTCACTGGCTTGGCTCCTGAAATTCCACAGCGGTGCCTTTAATTTTAGAAGAATAAACAACAAGAACAACAACAAAAACTTCCCTCACTTTAGTCCCAGTTAAATGCGGGGTAGCACTAAGCTTTATCATTGAAATATAGTAGTATTTTTAAGGTGATCTGCTGTACCAGGTGCTACACACACACACACACACACCCCACTGAGGGGAGAGAGGATACATCTCAGAACCCTGGGCATCCAAGCTGGGAGGGGCAGAGCAGCTGGCGTTTGAATGAGAGAACCAGCATGAGTCACTGCGAAGTCCGACCTCCTGACTTGGCCTGGTTCTATCTCTGACTTTAGGGGGCCTGAGGGTGGCACTGCACACCCCCTGACGTACTCTCTCTCCTCTAAACACTGGAGTTCCCTTACCTGGCCACATCAGCCTTTTCTATTAGCAGCAAAGGAAACTTCAAACGGCAAATGGAGAGGCTGTGTGGGTGAAGCACAGACAGGAGCCGCGGAAAGTCCAGGGAAGAGACGGAGAAAGTTCTGGGAGAGGAGCTCACCCAGTCCCGCTGCAGGCTGATGTAGGAGCTGGTGGAGAGGGAGACCCTCCTCGGCCCTCGCAGCCTCTCTCCTGTGCACACAGGTTCTCATGGGCTGTGGTCCTCTGTCCTTTCAGCCATCAACGGGATGATCTACAAGTTGCCTGGCCTGAGGATGTACGAGCAGGAGTGGGTGAGGCTGCACCTGCTGAACGTGGGCGGCTCCCGGGACATCCACGTGGTTCACTTCCACGGCCAGACCCTGCTGGAAAACGGCACTCGGCAGCACCAGCTCGGCGTCTGGCCCCTGCTGCCTGGTAAAGATCTGGGCCACGAAAAGAGGTCCTGGCTAACCCACCCAGAGGAGGCCACCCAGCATCCCCAAGTCCCCTCATCCCCCTGGGCATTTACTGCCGAGGGTCGAGATGGGCTCTGCGTGGATCCCGGCAAAGCCATATCCCAGAGCTGCACTCAGGGTGGAAAAGGCCGGCGAGGGCTCGCACTGCTTGCGGCACCGGCTAGCAGTGTGGCCTGACTCCAGTCAGCAGAGAAACCATGTCCGGTGCAGGCTCTTCCCAGCCGCTGCGTGCCACGCGGGGGGCTTACAGGCGGACTGACCCTCCCGGGGCTCAGGCAGTGTGCAGGAGGGAGAGGGACATTTGCCAGGGCTGCGGGGAGGGATGGGGTCTTGATTTCTTGAATTCTACCCCTCACTCTATCACCCTGACATCTTTGGGTAAGTGACTATAGGATTCTTCATCTCAAACAGACTCATGAGGCTCTTTGGAGAAAAAAAAAATTTTTTTTAATGATTATGAAAGCTGAAGAATAACAGGGGTATTTAGAGCTTTTTGTGTGCAAAATAATAAGGTTTAAACAAACTAGTCACATAAAAGGATTCTTATGTGCCAATGCGTTGTTTGTAGGTATGTATGTGTGTGTATGTATGTATGTGAGTGTAGGTATGCATGTGTATGTGTGTATGTGTGTGTGTGTGTGTGTGTGTGTGTGTGTGTAGGTATGCGTGTGTGTAAGTATGCGTGTTGTGTGTGTGTGTGTGTGTGTGTGTGTGTGTAGGTATGCGTGTGTGTAAGTATGCGTGTGTGAGAGGGCTGATGCCACTGATTCTCCGCTGCAGTGGACACAGGAAACCCAGGAGCCAGCTGAACGCTGCCTGGGAAGCTCGGGGAGGCGTCCCGGCAGGACTCTGGGTTGGGAGCTGCCCTGTGAGTCAGCCTCAGGCGGAAGCACAGAAGTCCGCATGGACCCGTTTTGGCTCAGGGTCTGGAAAGGGAGAGTTCTTGCTTGTTTCAAACGTGCCAGTGACTCACTAATAAAGCCCTTTCTATTGAGATCAGGGACAGAGGCGATTGAGTCAGACACACTCCTTACTTGTCACCAGGGAGACCAGGCCAGCCGGCCGCCCAGGAGCCCAGGAGAAGCCCTGAGAGGCTGGGGTGGGCTGGCCGTCTAAACCTCAACCCTAAGGATCTCATCCCTGAGGGAAAGGCTGGACATCTTTTTAGGGTTAGAGGGGGGTGACCATCAGCTTTTCATTTTTACTCACAATCTTGTTTGAAGGGGTGACCATCAGCTTTTCATTTTACTCACAATCTCGTTCGAGGGGGGTGACCATCAGCTTTTCATTTTTACTCACAATCTTGTTCGAGGGGAGTGACCATCAGCTTTTCATTTTTACTCACAATCTTGTTCGAGGGGTGACTATCAGCTTTTCATTTTTACTCACCGCCTGGGAAATGCTCACAGCAGTAGCTGGCAGAACTGAAGTACTAACTGGCAGTAGTAATAGCCAACGTGAGCATGGATAAGCAGAGGTTTCAGAAACTCACTCTTTCCAGGTGTCCTGAAACAAGTTATGCAGGCGCCACCCACGTATGTAAACTTTATCAAACATTTGAAATGTGGAGATGTTTTACTTTAATTTTCTTGTATGAAAAAAGAAAAGCTAGTGGGATGAAGAGAGGGAAAGGAAAGATGGACAAGTGTTTGAGGCCCAGGGATGGGTCACTCCAGGTTGTTCTGGTCCTTAGGACCGTGAAGCTGTGTTATGTGTATGTTAACTCATAACATTCTGTTCAGATCAATGAAAGCTTCTTTCTAAAAGGGGTGCTGGAGATTTTTTAAGGTTCTGGGTGATTTATTTGTCCGTGTGTGTGTGTGTGTGTGTGTGTGTGTTGTTTTGACCTGTTTGTTACACTTGTAGTCCTGCATAGAAATGAATGGATAACACTTAAGTTCTATCCTAAATCTTCCTGGGATGCAGTGATATTAGGATCCTTTGATCTCTGCCAAATAGTAACCTGTTAATCTTTGAGTGTGCAATGCTGTCCTTCACTCTCTATTTTAGGTTCATTTAAAACTCTTGAAATGAAGGCATCAAAACCTGGCTGGTGGCTCCTAAACACAGAGGTTGGAGAAAACCAGGTGGCAGGGATGCAAACGCCATTTCTCATCATAGACAGAGGTATCAGCCAAGAGCCGCGGGATCCTTTAAGCAGGAGAGTCCTGTTGCTAGAATATTGCTGACCTTTAGACAGGAAACATTCAACTCGGAACTCTGATATGACAAAGGCACATTCTGTGGCACTAATGCTTTCGTTCTGGCCGCGGTCTGATTATACTGCAAACATCAGTCATCCAGGAAACTTAAACCAAATGGTTCGGCCCAAAGGCATTCCTCCCAGTTGGGGAACCAGCGTACAGCATCCTCCTTCATGATGTGTGACCCCCTGGAAAGTGCATGTAAGAAATCCTCCAGGCTCCTAGCACAGAGGAGGAAAAGATACGAGGAGCTCAGCAATCCCCAAGAGTCCCTGGACTCGGCATCCCAGGACTCAGGACAAATTTCCATCTGTCTGTCCGGCCGGCCAGCCAACATTGATCAAGCTCCCGTTGAGTACCAAGCATGGTGTCAACATCCAGATAGTTCAGTGGTTGCATCCCCTTCGCTGGTATTCCTGTCCAGGGATGCAATCAGGATGTAAATAACCCTGAGGGATAGTACTTAATGCTATAAAGTGGTTTATTTTAAGATATAAGCAGACGGAAATCGGTTTAAAAACAAATTGCATTTCAGGATTTCAGTTATTTTCCGATAGGTGTCACTATGTCTATTAAAGTACCGGTCTTGTTAGTGCACTTACCATTTTAGGATCAGATGCATTTAAGTCAGTGCTGTGCAAGGCAGGTAACAATATCTAATTACTGACCCACCACAAGTATGATCTCTAGCCATGGAGTTATGCGTTGTTAAATGTACTTTCTAACCAAACATTATTCCTTGTCCTGCTTTTTTGCAGAATGTAAGATGCCACTGGGACTAAGCACAGGCCTCATAGCTGATACCCAGATCAAGGCGTCGGAGTTTGTGGGTAAGCAGCAGCAGCATAGCCTGGGAGAGGCACCTCCCCCAACTGTGCAGGATACAGCCTGCACAGCCAGGCATGCCAGCCGGGCCTGGAGACTCTGGGCATTGCTCCTCTCCAGGCTTCCCTCCACCACAACATAGCACAGCAGCTCCCTTTGGGGTGCTTCTTGGTACAGGAAGGAGCGCTGTGGCAGGAGCTAAAGCCGCTTGGCACCCTTATTGCCGACACCCCCTCTGGTGCAGGATGTTCCTAAAGAGTCTCTCCCAGGAAAGACCAAGAGCGTGGTCCCTCTCCATAGGCAGTCTGACCTCTCAGCAGAGTGGGCAAGAGGACACAGCTTGCTCTCATGACCATGTGCCCTTTTCCAAGACTCTCCCCATTCATTCCCATTCTGGCTTGGGTCACACATGATATTCCAGCCAGATTCATGGGGCCTCATCGGGCACGTGTTAGAGGCCCCATTAATAGGACCCTTTGCTGTGCCCACCACTCATCTATTTGAGAAACTGTGTTGATGCCCCATTGTGTGTCAGGAACTTCTCCTAACTGTCCTCACTGCTCAGAGCCCTTCCCAAGATCAAGGGGTCAATTGCAAGGGACCATGAGGCTCCCATAAATCCCTCCCATGTCTTCCTGGTAGGCAGGCACACTCAGCAGCGGCCACAGTAATTTGCATAACTGAGAGGAGATAAACACGACCTGTATCCAGGAAAGGGGGTGGGTGGCAGGTGGCAGCTGACCAAGCACAGACCTGAAACCAAGCTTTCGTCATCCTGGGCTAAGTCATCCTGAGCGTGTGCCACCTGCCTGGTCTTCTAACTACACAGAAGGTCCCCCGGGATCTGGTTTTCTACTGGGACTGAACTTGCTTGAGAAATTGCTAAGTGTGTGTGTTTTTTAATTCAGAATACATTTTTTCTTCCTTTGGATTTAGGTTACTGGGAGCCCAAATTAGCAAGATTAAACAATGGTGGATCATATAATGCATGGATGACAGAAAAAAATTCAGAATTTGACTCTAAACCTTGGATCCAGGTATGACATTAATCTGATAATATTTACTGCTATCTATATACATAAAAGCCTAATATGCAAATTATCCCCTCGGGAGTTCAACTGGGAAACCGACAGTTTGATTGCTCGTTATGACATGTTCTGACCACAGTGGGGAGGTGCAGAATGAAGGAAGGCCCAGACCAGCAGCCAGCAGCCAGGGAAGGAAGGCCCTGGCGAACAGCCAGAAGGCCCCGATCGGCCCTGATTGGCCCTGATAGCCAGCCAGGTCTAGGGACCCTACCTGTGCACAAATTTCTTTTAGTTGGGGCTGTTTCTGTCTGTGTTAGAGATTTGCCTTTTAGTTGTAATAGTAAAAGTGACACTGATTTAATAACTTCTTCTTGTTGCTTCTTTGCAATGTTGTTAGGGGAAATAGCAATTACTAGGTGCCAGGTAATATTCTAAATAGATAACATCCTTAAAATGAACCCTCTGAGATTGGTTCTAATAATATCCCATCTTCCAGATGAAAAAAACTGAGACACAGAGGGGTTAACTAACTTCTCAGCGTCAAGCACAGCTTGTTAGTGGTTGAGCTGGGATTCAGGTCCTCTGTGCTCAAATACAGACTGCATTTTATTAGTTTGCTAAGTAAAACCTGAGGTGCTGGCTCTTTAGTTCTGAAGAAAGCTGGTTGGTTGCTCAATGAATTACGGTGGCGTGTGACTTGTGGACAAGGACAGTTCTGTTCAGTGGCTTTGCTATGTTGCAGGTGGACATGCAAAGGGAAGTCGTATTCACAGGCATCCAGTCCCAAGGTGCCAAACACTACCTGACGTCCTACTTCACCACCGAGTTCTGCGTGGCCTACAGCTCCGACCAGACCAACTGGCAGATTTTCAAAGGGAACAGCACAAGGAACGTGATGGTCAGTGTGCACGTCTCTTTCAGAGTCTCCAGACTCACCTGATGGTCACTATAACTGTGACCATGACTCTTTGCTTTTGTAAAAATACTTTTCTAGGCATTGGAAACACGGAGGGCTTTCTAGGGCCTAATGAAGGAAAGTGGTAAAATGATGGGTCTGTATATTACAAATTAAAGGGATACGCCTGACTTCTGAAATTTCAAAACTCCACAAAACTTTTTAAAAATCACTTTATCGCCCTAACCGGTTTGGCTCAGTGGATAAAGCGTCGGCCTGCAGACTGAAGGGTCCTGGGTTCGATTCCGGCCAAAGGCATGTACCTTGGTTGTGGGCACATCCTCAGTAGGAGGTGTGCAGGAGGCAGCTGATCGATGTTTCTCTCTCGTCGATGTTACTAACTCTCTATCCCTCTCCCTTCCTCTCTGTAAAAAAATCAATAAAATATTTTTTTAAAAAATCACTTTATCATCAAATGAAATACCCGGACTTTTCAGATTGGCAGATGGTGTACGGCAGCGTAGAGCATCTATCTGATCTGGTGCTTAAGGGGCTCATGTTAAAAATATGCCATCAAGGGTTCTGATGTTACTAATTTTTTTCCAATTTTCTATATTCTCCATGACTAACTTTCTATATTATCACTTAGCTATTTCTAGGATAGATAAGCAAAATCCTAAATGATGGCTCTTACTAATCAGTATCAGAGAGAGAACATAGATTTCAGTGAGAGTCTCTAGCTTGAAGAATTTTACATCTAGATTCATGAGAGATATTGGTATGTAGTAGTTTTATTTTTTCGTACTGTCTTTTCTGGTTTTGATATCAGAGTAATTCTAGCTTCACAAGCTAAATTGGGAAGAGTGCTCTTTTTTCCTATTTTGTGGAGAAGATTGTCTAGAATTGGTGTTAGTTCCTTAACCATTTGGCAGAATTCACCAGTGAAACCATGTGGGCCTGGAGATTTCTCTTCCAGAAGTTTTAAGATTACAAATTAAATTTCTTCAGCAGTTACGGGCTTTTCAAATTATCTGTTTTTTATTGGGTGAGTAGGAATAGTGTTTTTTCAATGAGTGGATCCATTTCCTCTAAGTTGCTAGATTCATGTCTGGAGTTGCTTGTCCGTCCCTTATTAATCTTCTGACGTCTGCAAGGTCAGCGGTGAGACTGCCTGCTCACATCTGGTGATGGTCATTTGCGTCTCTTCTCCTTCTGCTTTGTTGGTCTTGTTAGAGATTTGCCTTTTTTAACATCTTTTCAAAGAACTGGCTCTTTGCCTCATTACTCTTTCTACCGTATTTCTCTTTTTTGTCTTGCTTACTTGGTTGCTTAGTCTGCGCCTACCTCTGTTTCAGCTGGATATCTCATGCTGCTCTGGCAGGGAAAGCGCATGGGGCACGGCCTCCTACTGCCTGGGGGTCCAGCCCAGGTTGCCCACCTGCCAGGGACTCCTCCTCTTTGCTGCTGGTGGGATGAGGTGCTCTCCACGGACACTGCAGCGGTGGGAGCCTTGGTAGGAGCTGGCCCCCACCTGGCCTTCCGACACACCCCAGTGAGGGCACAGAGGTGCCTCATCACAGTTTCACGCCCATGGAGGTCAAGGCTCCGCCCTTGGCCTTCGCGATGAGGAGAGGCCATAGTTGTTTCTGTGGAGTTGAGCTTGCCGGAGAGCAATGATTGTCTAAAAGAGCTCTGTCGTGCTGGGCTGCCCTCTCTTGGTTCTGAGGCTAGAGAAAGCAGGGTCGTGCTGGGGCTGTTTCTGTCTGTGCTCATTGGTGTTTCCTGGTTGCTGGCTTCTTCTCTTCCAAGTCTGGGGTCTGTGGGGCCAAAAGGAACCCAGGGAGCCCATGACCATGTTGTTCCTAGGGTCCTAGAACTCTAGCCAGTCTGCCTTCTCTCCCCCTTCCAGAGCGTTCTCATGGTTTTAGTTGTGCTTAACAGGAGGAATCGGGAAAAGTACATTTGTTCCATATTCCTAAAGTGGAAGCATCCTTCAATATGTTTTAAGACCATATTGATTTAGTTCTGGCCACATGAAAATTTAACATCATCATATTAAATGACACCAACATTTTACTATAAAATCACTTTACAGAGAATTTTTGCATAACTAAGCTTATCTCTTTTCCTCCAGTATTTTGATGGCAACTCCGACGCCTTTACAGTAAAAGAAAATCTGTTTGACCCACCGATTGTGGCAAGATACATTAGGGTCTATCCAACCAGATTCTACCACAGACCTGCCCTGCGCCTGGAGCTGCAAGGCTGCGAGATTAATGGTGAGGAACCAAGATGCGTGACTATCTTACCACAGCTCAGAGAGTCCAGGTCGGGAGGTGCGGGAGAAGGGGAAGGACTTTCAGTTCTCTTCAATCACGTAGGCTCCTGAAGCAACGTTCTGGGAAGCAGAGGTTCCATTCAGGTAAACGCTCATGGTGACTCAGCGGACACAGGTTCTCCCGGGCAGGGGGCAGGTGCCATCTTTGTGAGCAGCACCTGGATGGCATGGTCTCCGCCCGGACCCCCAGGGAGGGTCCCAGCTGAGAATGACCTCCCTCAGCCCATTTCCCAGAGAACTGAGATTCAAACTAGGCCTGGCTCTTCCCAAGTCCTCGAGGACACTCATGTAATAACAGCATCTGGCCACATTCCCGGCATGCGTCAGTATCCAGTGAGTGGTTTTGAAATCTACCTCTGCTTCCCAACTTCCTGAAACCTTAACCAGGCTCTGTGTTGTTTCACATCCTATGTAGGTACCCAAGCCTCTTCTGTGTTAAGCTGCTATTTTTCAGGGGATGTAATGTGACCTGTGGTATAAATAGATGTAGGGGACCACATGTGGCCATAATAAAATTCTACGATGTAGTACAAAGATGTTTGAGTAGGACAAAGATGTTTGAGAGTCATAATAACTATTCTCCCTCTCTGACTCTTCCAGTGGTGCTTTCCAAAAATCTTTCACTGCAAAACACATACAGAAAGTAATACCTGCCTTGGGCCTGGGGTAATAGAAAAAAGTAGCCGGCCCAGGGCTTGGCTGATCCAGACCCTGCCTGGCTACTCACGACTAAAGGGAGGAAGAGCCCACTATATAAGCACCTGAAACTCGCTGTGGCAGCCTGCTGGGAAGCCACAGCACCTTCTCTCAGGGTGGAGGGAAGAGCCACACTCATGGTAGAGAAGGTAGCCGAACCTTGGAACCAGTTTCTTATCTGAGCAGGCAATGTTACATACACTCTTGATATTCATGAGGGATGAGGGATGAGGGATGGGCATTGTGCCAGTGCCCAGGTAGCAGGGGCTTGTACCATCTCCGATGAAATACAGCTTTCCTACAGGCAGCCGCACTCCTTGGAACAGCTCCATAAATCATTTTTTCCTCCCACGTGGTGTCTGATGTAAGCGGTAGTTTGATCAGCTCGTAGAGTCAAGCTGACTCCCTAAAATGGGACAGTCAGCTCTGTTCACCCACACGGTTGATTGTTGTGATGGTTGCTGTTGCTGGCACTCTGAGGAACAGTATTCCTTCCCTCCTCTGCGCACAAAATGGGGTATAGGGAGTGCTGGTGGTGCGTACTAATCCCATTACTTTTCTCTCAACAGGATGCTCCACCCCACTGGGTATGGAAAGTGGGAAGATAGCAGACACGCAAATCACAGCTTCCTCGTTTAAAAAGTCCTGGTGGGGAGACTACTGGGAGCCCTCCCGTGCCCGCCTGAATGCCCAGGGCCGTGTGAATGCCTGGCAAGCCAAGGTGACTATCCCTGTTAACACAGTTCTCTCAGCTTCCAGGAGCAAACAAAGGAACATGGGGGGCCTGGGAAGCCAGGCAGCACCCCCTGTTTCTGCAGGTTGTGATCCTGGGCCTGAGGACTAGCATGCCTGTCGACTTGCGAGCTTTCGCTCTAACGCTGACTCACAGAGAAGTTATCATCATCTTTGAGGTTCTTTGTCGAATCTTAATTTAGCCAGGGGTGGTCAAAGGCCAGGTAATAAATATTCTGGGCTTTGTGAGCCATACATTTCCTGTCAAAACGACTCATCTCTCATTATAGCGGGAAAGCAACCATAAACATTATCATGGCTGAGTTCCAATAAAACTTTATTTACAAAAACAGGTGGTAGGTTAGATTTGGCCTTGGGCTGTAGTTTGCAAATCCTCTTTGAGACAACTTACATTAGCACTAAGTGATTTAGATTTCCAACATCTTCTCTTCCTTTCCCCCACCATGTCTCCATTTAGCAATATTTTTCATTTTCTTAGGAGTGCCATTAAAATTCTTTTGTTCCAATTTTTCTGAGAACTTTGTGACATTCCTTTAGACCAAGCATGCCAAACTCAAGGCCACATGCCTCGAGGCATGCGGCCCACCAGCTGCGGTTTGAAACGCTTGCTTTAGACAATTGGCCGCATAATAAAATGGGGTAAAACCAGGAAGTAAAACAGTGATCTAAGTTGGAGAAATAGCTTTTATATTGCCTCTCATATCACCCACAGAGTAATTCAGGTGACAGTTTTAGGGTAACTTAATAACTGACTCACTTTTATTGCACTCTTCAACTGACCTGAGACATCAGAATGACATCAGAAATGAGAACAATCCCATCAGCCAATTTAATCCAAGTTCCCTGTTTTCTCTCCTCCTAACCCTCCCTTAAGGTGCCCACTGCAATTCCCTGGACTTGCTAGGGATTGCCACCTCCTGTCCTTAAATTAGGTCACCAGAGATGCTAGTGGAGTGACTAGAAGACCTTGGGCCCTGTACAGATAGTTTTGGGAACCAGTATCTATGCCTTGAAACTCATGTCTGGACCTTCGGAGGGTCACCAGAATGTTAGAACAGCAAGCATCTGATCTGGATTTTTCCTTTCAAATCTCAACACAAAGGAGATGAAATAAATACTTTTGTTTAGACTTCTTTTTCTCCTCAGAAATCCCGTTCTCCCCATAGGCAGCTCAGTGCTCCTTCCTCCAACCCAAACACCTCATTTTGCAATTCTGCAGAGGGGGGAACTGAGACCCAAAAAGATAAAATAATAAAGTTAATAATGTCACATTACACTTATGTAATTTTAAAAAATCATAAAAATAAGAGTAAAAGGTTAAGGAGAGAGAGGAAGAAAGGTGTTTCCCAGATGACACTTTAGATTTGTTCATGGCACAACCTTGTCCCCCACCCTCCATGGTCCAGCCTTTTAAAAAAACTTGCTCCGAATACAATATGCTCTTAGTCTTTGTGAAATAATAAAGGCTCCAAAGAGGAAATGCTAATTTTAATTTTTAATACTGTCATTTTAAATCTGGAATTCTAGGTCACAATTATTTGTTTCGCTTAACCTATTAGCATGAAATGCATTTATAGGGTCTCTTTAGAGAGGATGAAAATCTAAGCGAGACATATGTAGGCCTGCATGCAGCTGGAAGGGTCTCTACCCCTTCTATGCCTAAAAAAAAGTTATGCCTAGAAAACCCCTCTAGCTACCTATATTCTGCTTCACTAGTACCACCTTGGTTTGAAGACACTACAATACCACCAAATGCCACTAAAGGGTATAACAGAATTAATAAAAATCATCCAATACAATACTTTTAATCCAATTAATTTTCTCTAAAGATATATAAGGTATATGACTATAAACATATGCATGTGTATCCATATGTGTATACGGGCATGCACATATGAGTGATGTTGAGACAAATATATCAATATTCATTATTTCATTATTTCATATAGAACTGAATGAGACTTGGGGCTTGATAAATCTCCCAGAATTGAAAATTCATCTCAGATTACTCTAAAACTCAATCTGTCCTCTGATCCTCCTCCTCCACATGCGTAGCACCAAGCATGTATCTAGGCATTTTATTTGGCCAGAGGCGGGACAGTTACTGTGCATATCAAGCCCTAGGTGTAGCTTTATCAGGTCTCTCAGTGTATTTGAAATACCTGAAAAGAAGAAATTGGACTATGTCTCTTATTGGACATTAACAACGGAAAGGAAAGTGGGCTTTTCTAAAATAAAGACAGGATACTATTCCATTCTTTCCCAGGTAACCCTTCAGTAATCAGTAATATCATCATAGCATTTAAACCAACTTGCTTACCAGAATAACACTTAAATATAATTTATCGGTTGAATATTTTTCCCAAGTCAATTTAATTTACTTGTTTATTTAACAAATATTTGATGAACACCAACTGTGTGCCATGCTCTGTGAGAAGTGCATAGAAACGAAACTCATCGGCCCCTGTCCTCAGGGACGAAGGGATACAAAGATGGACCCAGATCATGATTGCATACGTGTGAACGACTCCGGAAGAAGTTAGCATACGTGTTGTAGCAACAAACAGAACAGGGAAGGCTTCGAGGAGTCGTAAGGGATGAGACAGAAAAGAAATCCTTGGAGCTCTGGCATTTCTGAGTAACTTGGTCTAAAAAAAAGCGAAGGTTCTGGCATCTGTCTTACCCATGTGTTCTCCTCATCTTCACAGGCAAACAACAACAAGCAGTGGTTACAAATCGATCTGCTCAAAATCAAGAAGATAACTGCGATTGTTACGCAGGGCTGCAAGTCCCTCTCCTCTGAAATGTACGTGAAGAGCTACGCCGTCCACTACAGTGACCAGGGAGTGGAATGGAAGCCTTACAGGCAGAAATCCTCCATGGTGGACAAGGTACAGGGTGGTATCCGGGCAAAAAGGAAGCCGTTAGAAAACGGTGCTGTGATGAGAACGGTACCTTGCATTTGCAGATAGCTCTTTGCATTGGACAAATACATGCTGGCAGGTCCCCCCTGTAAACCCTAGCTCTGCAGGTAACTGGTCCTGGGACAGGGACCGTGCACATTGCCTCCTGCTTTGACTGAGCCACCTGTGAAGCAGTGAGAACAAAGCTCCATGGTCTGATGTGAAACATCCTTACCTCTGATCGAGAGAGATGGAGCTTGGGCTGCTGTTGACTTAAACACTTATTTCCCACACTCCTGAAGGCTGGGTCCCAATCAGGGTGCGGGCCCTGTCGGGTTCTGGTAAGAGCCTCTTCCTGTTATGTCCTCACGTGGCCTGCCTTGTTGAGTCCACACAGAGAGAGCTCCCAGGTCTCCTCCCCCCTTCATTATGTGTATTAATTCCATTTAATTTAATCCTAGTTACCTCCCAAAGGCCCCAACTCCTAATACTACCTCACTGATCTATAATAATAAAAGCATAATATGCTAATTAGACCAGATGTCCTTCCGGACCAAGCCAGGGCTGCAGCTTCCAAGGCTGGGAAGGCCTACTCTTGCACGAATTTCGTGCATCGGGCCTCTAGTTTTATATAAAGTATCAAAGTTTATATATGAATTTTGGGAGGACACAAACATGCAGTCCATAGAGGGGTCCAGAAACTCTACCACTGCATTAGCGTTGCCTTGGATATGCTTGTTGTTCATGACTGATCACACACCCATGGCCATAAGTAACCAGCCCCTGGGTTGGCTGTTTCTTTGGTTTGGTTTATTTCTCACTGTACCAGGATGTCCTCCTGGCAGGATAAGCATCATTTTTAGAAACAAACTGTGGGTTAGCTTCTGCTGTGTGTGAATCATGGGGAACTTGCTGGGGATGCGAAAAACAAGCAACCCTTCCCCCACAAAAAAAAGGAGCAGGGACACAGTTTAGCTGAAACTATAGGGTATATCCAAAAAGGAGGACTATAGACGCATGGTTGCATTTTATTTTAAATATTGGTAAGAGCTAACCATGTATTGGTGCCACTATCTGTCACTTACTAGGTACTTCTTATATGTTTACAGACTTTTGTTAATTCTTACAACTTCCATAAGGTAAAATTTTATTATCCCCATTTTGCCAATGAGGAATCGAGAATCAGAAAACTTAAGTAACTGGCTCCAAGTCACTCAGTGGCAAAGGGCCTGAGGGCAGAGCTGGGCTTGTAGCTGCCCATACACCGATCAAATGTTTTCTCCTCCCCTACTTTAACTCAGATCACCTGGGAGGCGGAATTCCTAATGAGACCTGTCTGGAGCAGGATTTCATTGAGGGTCATCTCTGTGTTAATGTTGTCTGTGTTCTTGGATGCCTTTGGTTTGAACAAAAATAATTTTAAAATTAACTGTAAGATTTGTGTACTCATTATACTACCATTAAGGATTTTCTCATCTTTTGCTTTCAGATTTTTGAAGGAAATAGTAATATAAAAGGGCATGTGAAGAACTTTTTCAACCCTCCAATCATTTCCAGGTTTATCCGTATCATCCCGAAAACGTGGAATCAAAGTATTGCCCTTCGCCTGGAGCTCTTCGGCTGTGATATTTACTAGAATTGAATATTCAGAGAGACAGAAAAGACTCTTAAACATATCAAGCCACTTAGAGTGGGCAATGTATTTTATAGCTATGTTAAATTCTCTATTAAAGAATAAAATTTTATATGTGAAATTTTTATAATGTAACTCCTGGCTACCATTAATTGAGATGATAGATAGTATTTTTGCATTAATTTGAATGTAAATGGGAAAATAACAAGAACCAACAAGAAGCCCTAACCGGTTTGGCTCAGTGGCTAGAGTGTCGGCCTGCAGACTGAAGGGTCCCAGGTTCGATTCCGGTCAAGGGCATGTACCTTGGTTGCGGGCACATACCCAGTGGGGAGTGTGCAGGAGGCAGCTGATCGATGTTTCTCTCTCATCGATGTTTCTAGCTCTCTATCCCTCTCCCTGCCTCTCTGTAAAAAATCAATAAAATATGAAAAAAAAAAGAACCAACAAGAAAATGGCTTATCTTTCACAATGATTAAATATGCTCTATGAAGTAATTCTATTCTATTCAAGTAGTTAACATGCTTCACCATAGTTCTTTTAAACCCTGAACATATTAATAAAAGAGATATTAATGTTTAAAACCATACCTGGGTAGCTGTCACTCCTACATTTTTCTTTAAAAAACATACACTATGGCCCACCTGGCGTGGCTCAGTTGTTGAACATGGACCTATGAACCAGGAAGTCATGGCTCGATTCCCCATCAAGGGCACATGCCTGGGTTGTGGGCTTGATCCCCAGTGTGGGGCGTGCAGGAGGCAGCCAATCAATGATTCTCTCTCATCATTGATGTTTCTCTCTCTCCCTTCCTCTCCATTCTTCTCTGAAATCCATAAAAATATATTTTAAAACACACACACACTATGATTTAAGAGTAAAGGAAACAAATGAGAATTTTTAATGTTGACTTTTTGACAGTGGAGAGAAAAGCAATCTTATCGTGTGAACGAAGAAAGCTTCAAATGCCCTGTCGTACCCACAGGACAGTGGTTGTTCTGACCCCCCAGGAGGAAAACGCAAGTAAGCATCTTCTCAGCAGCCCCGTTGGCCTATGAATCTGACCTGCTCTCCCTTGAGCTGACGGCACAATGCGGATGTTCAGCATTAGGGGTCATTAAACATAGAACTTGGAATTTTGGCTTCATTCCAGCTGACATTACGTGGCACTGTTTCAAACATAGGCTCACCTAAGGGAGAGCTGGTACCCACTGGCCCAGTGCAGCGATGCCAGTCAGTCCTGGCCCCTGGCCAATTTAATGCTCTGTGGTCACTCTCTTGAAGTTCTTAATAATTTTTTAACAATGAGTCTGACATTTGCAATTTGCAAGAGGTCCCTCTACTATAGAAATGGGCGGGATCTCTTCTTGTCTACCGAAGTATAATAGAGGCAAGGAAATCAGGCCGACTAGCAGGTAAGGGGAGAGACGAGAATGGAGCAGAGATCCGGCCTCATTGCCCACTGCATGGAGAGAAAGGGCCACGAAGTTTCAACCACCTGCCTGGGGCCATTGCTAGTTCGTGTCAGAGGTGAAACTGGAAGCAAGATGAGCAGACTCCCAACCTCTCCGTCAGTCTGGTTTCTGTTCCATAAAATGGAAATGATCATGATAACGATTATGATTCATCCTCCCCAGACAGGTCGACATGAATATGAATATGAATTATTAATTAATATGAAAATCACTTTGGACATCGATAAAATGTTTGGGTTACATCTGATCTGTGTAGAAATGTTAAAACAGCTTTTAGTTTGAAATAAAACCATGTATTTTTATTCCTCTCTTTGAAGTCATGTAGATGAAATTACAACTTGTGCCGTATCCTCCAATGACATAACATACTCCACTCTTTGTTATGTAATAACTGGTTGCTATGGGAAAGAAATTAGTGACTCACAGTGTCCTCACGACTTGGAAAAAGAAACAAACAGATACAACCTGAGCATTATTCATCACTGGAAATGAGGAGTCGGGAAAGAGAGGCTATGCGCGTATCATAGATACACAGGGTCAGAGGAAACACGGCATTAGTTCTCCGGGATTTTTTCAAGTTGCTAAGAGAAATTACAAACTTGGTGACACTTTTTAGAATAACTGAATAGTCACTATCTTTTGAGTTCAGAACCATTTGGGCAAAGTCAACAAAGCACTATGGTGGGCATTGTGGGGGAGAAAATAAAACAAATCAAACACACCACTCTGGCTCTTCAAACACTTGTTACCTAGTTGGTTGGATAGAGAATACAAGCTTAAAACACACCACTCTGGACTTGTTACCTAGTTGGTTGGATAGAGAATACAAGCTTAGGAAGCAAACACAGACTGTAGGAAGATTTCACCCTGAGGAGTCAGTGGTAAAAATTCAATCAAAGGAGTAACCCCGGGAGGATGGAGTCAGCCAGTGGAAACTTTTGGAAAAGGTGATTTGACCCAGACCTTGAAGACATTGGGCATATATTAAGGTGATCTTGGCAGAACCCCAAAGAACCGGACTGGGATAAAGGTCAATGAAGACCAGAGAAGTAGAAGAGCTTTATACTTAGATTCAGGTCCCTGTAAGCTTTCCCTGACATACCTACCCCTTCTCCCCACTTCCTTGGTACACAATCTGACACTGTGGAGGGGGTACCCACCTATATCCCTCCATCTCCCACCCCCACACCATGCCCATAAGTCCAGTCTGTTTGCAAAGTCAAAAGAAATAAAAACAACAGCTACCTGGAAGGACCCGGGGATCCGACGGTGAGGTAAGAGAAACATGCAGATACAAAACGTGTCCCTAATCTGCAAACTGTGAATGACAGACGGTGGAGACCAGGCTGAATGTGAGATATATTGATAATGTGATGGTTGCACACTGGCTCGCTCAGGTTGAGAGGACCAGACATGCTGCTCAGAGGGAATGGAGCAGGGAGAAAGCAGGTAAAAGTGTGTCCCATGTGGGAAACTGGCTAATTGAGATATGAGAGTCACACGGGTATATCTGGTTAATGACAAGTTGTTAGAGTGCTGATGTGATCGTTCTATTTTGTTGTGTTTTCCCACTTGCCCACATTTGAGCCACCTCAAATTCATCTGCACGTTCATATTTTACATTTAGGGGCAGCTGCTCATTGTCTCAAGAATGATGTACAGATACTTTCATACATTCACCTGCTTTTTTTGGCAAGGAATTTGGTAATGGTTTTACCTGTCCTATTGATCTCAACTGCCTCTAGCAGCTGTTCCTCCTTGTTGACTGAGAGGCTTTCAGGAAGTCTGGAATCTGGCAATGATTCCACAGATGTGACAGGTGGTGTAAAACTTTCATTTTCTGAGGAGACGGTGACAAAAGCTACATTTCTATGTGGTGCTTAGAATAGTCCTTGGCACAGAGTAAGTGCTACATAGGTACTGATTATTACTAATGTTAACATGATTAATAACAACAATGGTATAAATAGGCATACTATAAAATCAATATAACGGCATTCATTATTATGAACAATTGTTATTCATTTCTGCTGTATTCAACACCTTGTGTTACACCACTCATACTTTTTAAAATTGTGGTAAAATATACATAACAAAATGGTTGAAATGGCAAGTTTTACCAGTGTACAGCTTGGTGGTGTTAGGCACGTTGAAACTGCTGTGCAATCATCGTTAATTTTTTTAGATATTTGTATTGATTTCAGAGAGGAAGGACGAGGGAGAGAGAGATAGAAACATCAATGATGAGAGAGAATCACTGATCGGCTGCCTCCTGCACGCCCCCTACTGGGGATTGAGCCCACAACCCAGGCATGTGCCCTCAACTGGAATCGAACCCAGGACCCTTCAGTCCGCAGGCCGACGCTCTATCCACTGAGCCGAACCGGCTGGGGCCATCATCACTGCTTTTTATAGCCGCTCTATTTTCTACCTGTAACTCCATGCTTTTCCCTCTAGGTGGAGAGTCTGATTGAACTGCACACCCAGCCAGAGTTCGGAGCCTTTCACACTGAGGTCAGGCTTTAATTATCCAGGCTAAACAAAGAATTGCACAGTTGCATTGACTTTCTTCAGTGGGTTTAACTGACCTAATTATCTTTTCTCTGAGGTAGAGGCTGGAAATTTTTTAACAGTAGATGCAGACATTAACATTATATCCTGAGTCCACAGTCTTAGAATGTGATCCAGAAATCATTGTAAATTATCCACAGACAGATTAGATAATGTAAAACAGTATTAGGTAGAAATTTACTCAACGAGAAAATTTAATTGTTTTCCAATTGGTTTAAGGAGGCTTAAACAGGGAGAAGTAGGCCCAGCCGGTATTGCTCATAGGTTGAGCATCAACCTATGAACCAGATAGGAGGTCATGGTTTGATTGCTGGTCAGTGCACATTCCCAGGTTGCAGGCTTGATCCCCAGTGTAGGCCTGTAGGAGGCAGCTGATCAAGGATTCTCTCTCATCACTGATGTTTCTATCTTGCTCTAGCTCTCCCTCTTCCCTTCTTCTCTGAAATCAATAAAAACCAAACAAACAAACAAAAACAGAGTAGATAAGTTGCTAAAGTCTAAATGGGAAAGAATGGTCAGCATGCTAGATTGTAGTACTGTCTAGATCAGGGGTGGGCAAACTTTTTGACTTGAGGGCCACAATGGGTTCTTAAACTGGTTTGATTGTCAGGGCACATTCCCAGGTTGCAGGCTCGATCCCCAGTGTAGGCCTGTAGGAGGCAGCTGATCAAGGATTCTCTCTCATCACTGATGTTTCTATCTCGCTCTAGCTCTCCCTCTTCCCTTCTCTGAAATCAATAAAAAACAAACAAACAAAAACAGAGTAGATAAGTTGCTAAAGTCTAAATGGGAAAGAATGGTCAGCATGCTAGATTGTAGTACTGTCTAGATCAGGGGTGGGCAAACTTTTTGACTTGAGGGCCACAATGGGTTCTTAAACTGGACCGGAGGGCCGGAACAAAAGCATGGATGGAGTGTTTGTGTGAACTAATATAAATTCAAAGTAAACATCATTAAAAAAAAGGGTACGGTTTTTTTTTTTTTAGTTTTATTCATTCCAACCAGGCCGGATCCGGCCCGCGGGCCGTAGTTTGCCCACGGCTGACCTAGGGCCAGGGGGAAGGGAACAATGGGGACATTATTGTTTAATAGGTATGGAATTTGAGCACCATATAGGTCTTTAAAAATTTCTAGCTGGTGATAAGAGCATGGTTTGATATAGTCAG